CTTAATGCCAACTTAGTTTCATGCACAAAATTATTTAAATACTGTATAAAATTACCTTCAGGCTGTGTGTATAAGGTGTATAGGAAACAAACAAATTGCGTGTTTAGACTTGGGTCCCACCCTCCCAGATATCTCATTATGTGTATGCAAATATTCCAAATTCCAAAACAATCCAAAATCCAAAACACTTCTGGTCCGAAGCATTTTGGATAAAGGATACTCAACCTGTAATTACAACAGGTTGCTACTAAATCATTCCAAAGGGACATGCATGAGGAACAGAAGCAGTGGTCCAAAAACCAGAGGCCCAGATAACCAACCCATACCACGGCCAACACCAGCAGCTTTTACTTTCCCTGGCGCCCACACACATGCACGTGCAATCTGGCCTCCTGAGTGTGGTGCCACATAGGCAAATATTAATATTCTTACCAATTCTTTCAATTAAATTACACATTGCCTTTTTAAGCAAAGAGGAAAAATCCAAGCAAGAATAGTGCAACACTTGTGAAAATTCCCAGGGAGTAAAACCATTTGGTGGATAAAACGCATTAGTAATTCAATTAATTTTTTTATTATTATTTTTATTTTTAAAGACAGGGTCTCACTCTGTTCTGCTGCCCAGGCAGGAGTGCAGTGGAGCGATCACAGCTCACTGCAGCCTCGAACTGCTGGGCTCAAGCGATCCTCCCGACTCCACCTCCCAAAGTGCTCGGATTACAGGCATGAGCCACCACACCCGGCCCTCAGTTAACCTTTACTGAAAAGCTAGTATGGGCCAGACCTGATATTGAAGAGATTCTTAATCATCATCCTATTCAATACTCACATTCACCTTATCAGGGAATATTCCATTCTAGAGATGAGAAAAATGAGGTTTTATAGGGATTGGTTTGCTTAAGGTTAAATGGCTAATAAACCTAGGTCTCCAAACCCATTCCAAAGCTGCCCCGAGAAGAGAGCTACTGGGGGTGGGGAGCAGTGAGCAAAGGGGTTCCAGCAATTTCTGAGTTACTTTCACTCTCTTCTTCCCCTATCACTCAGCAGGCAGTGAGCAGCATTTCTTTAGACTGAAATGCTAAAGAGTTATCTGTCTGAGATCTCATCCAAACAGCTGGCTCAAGTCATCATCCTAGAGGACCACCTGTTGCCCTGCCCAAATACCCAGTCCTTCCCGTTCCATCACACTGCAGGAAGTCCCTGTGTCTTGCCCTGGCACTCACATTTGTCCTCAGCTCGATCCTGACCACTCCCCCCGCCATCTGACATGAACCCTCCAAGAAGCCAAACTGGCTCTGTGTGCCTGAATGGCCCTTGTTCACACTGTTTCCCTTCTTAGAACGCCTTGCCTCCCACTTCTCAGAATCACAGCACACACTCCAGATGCCCCGCCTGGACCCCAACTACAGACCTACAGGATCAGAGTCCCTCTCCCCGCTCCAGGCAGGTGCCTTCTGAGGTCCCTACACTACCCAGTTAGCAAGCACTGCCCTAAATCAAGGCCAGCCTTCCCACCCACCAATGCGAACCCCAGTGACTAAACGAGATTTCCCCTATACACACCCCATGATGACAGCTCCCACCTCCAAAATCCAGGAGCCATTACTCTCTGAACCACGCTGTTGCCAATTAATGCTACCACCTACTGTTATTTATAGCTTTATATATTCTTCCTGTCTCCTAGATTATACTCGTTTTGGGTGCAAGAATTTAGTCTTATATTTCTTCATAGAGCATGTTTTCTACATGGCAGCCCTTCAACAAACCCCTTACTTCCAGCTGGTGGCCTGCACCCTGTGTCCATCAGGAGCCATGGGTATCAGGCCACAAGGACAAGAACAGTTCAGTCCTCCCAGTCTAAGCCCTCACAACAGTCCACATAATGTGGTCTCAGTGTTCAGCACAGGCTCTGCGTAAGCACGGGTGGACAGAGATGAACAGCCATTTCCACCTCAGTGATAACCACAAAAACATTTTTTCACAAGAGAAAAACAATGTTACATATGACTAAGTGTAAGCCTTCACATAACTACTCACTGAGGACATTTCTGGCATTACGTCATGCCACGCCACTGTCCAGAAAAATCGATTTGTTTAACCTGAAAACAGCTCAAATATAATGCCAAAAAATTAGCCCACGAAATTCTTACTGCAGAGAAAGCTTTGGTGGGTTGAGATGTTGGGATCTTTCTTTCTCTTTTCCTTTTTTCCTTGTTTTCTTTTTAGGGTGCTTGGCTAGTTTTGGTACAAAGCCATAAACACGATCTATCCCCATTTTTCCCCACCAGATAGGAGTTCGTCGTGCCACATGTCATCTAGCAACCTAAATACCACTTGACAACTACCCAGCTACCCAATTCTTCATACAGAATTTGTCTTGCAAGGAACAGATAAGAGAATAAATGTTAAAACAGTGTTAATTATGTGTTTGCTTCATAATCACGTTATATAGGGTAGGAAGAGTAGGAACAGAGACTAAAAATTAAGTTTAATCATTATCTAGCAATTTAAGAAGAAAAAATACAAATGGACCTAGAAGACACTCAGGGTCTTACAACACTTGAGTCAACAGACTTGTGATCCAATGACTGAACTCTGTATATGCAAAGCCCATCTTAAAATTCACCTACTGCACTATAAGTTGCACTTAAAGACCATTTAAATCACTTTGGAAAGCCCAGAACTATCTCTGACTCTCCCTCTCATTTATCTCCATCACCCTTCCTTCCCTTCCTTCAGCCCATATGCCCCTTTTCTTTCCTGATGCCTTCCCAGACTCCCCCAAGAAAATTGCACTCCCTTTTCTATGCCCCCAGGTCCCTGTGAAACACCCACTAATATTTAAGAAAGAACAAGGTCCAGATCTATCACCAAAGCCTCTCGACTGTGCCCACCCAGCATCCCAAAGGCATCCTCTTCCCCCTACTGTGTCACATCCATGTCCACACCAATGGCTCCTCCACCCAGAGGACCCTGGGCCCTCTTGCCCTAGACTCTGTTTCCCACAAAGTAGCCAGTGGGTCCCCTAGATGTCCAGCGCCCAAAACAGTGCCTTGGACATAGTAAATGCTTAAGAATGTCTGTGGGATGAATTAATGACTCAGTCAATCAAACAACTCCATTTGTATCTCCCAAACAGGCAATTCGACCTGTCTGAATGATAAAATATGACTAATTTTTAAGCATGTAAAATTAGCAGGGTGAAAGAAAATGTGGATCCCCTTCTCCCTATTCAGGAACCTAGGCACAGTGCAGGGTCCATATTATTGTATTTCTCGTTCCTTTCACCATTCTGTTGGTTTCCAGAGTACATGGACAACTTGATTATTCATTTAGAACACTTGGACTATAAACTGTCACTCAAAAACAATCCTTAAAAATGCTAAACGTTTCCGCTGGATTTCAGGGTCTGATTTTAAAAAAAAAAAGCTAAATGTAAGTTTAGCTTACATTAGCTTACATTGTAAGGTTTTTCTACCCTTATCGGCTTTACCCAATATCCACTAATTTTATTTGATTTTCAATAAAAGAGTTCAACCAACTGTAAGGAACATCTTAGAGCTGTTAAATAAAGCCAATCTTCCATTTTTATGTCAGGTTCCTAAACATCCCCCAAAATTATCTTTCAAAGGTCAAATGTATGCTTTTTTTTCCCAATATACACTAAAAACAAAACAATAAGGGTAAAAAAATTGTTTTCTTCTTAATTTCAGACAGAATTGGAGGATGCCACCCAGAGCACCCTGTGTACACTAAAATCAGGCTGACAAAGCCACCGTCCCCCTCACCTGCAGCCCCAAAGCCCACAGGAGCCAGGTCACCCCACTATTGGGGAACAAATAGCAAATACGGCACCAAAGTGAATACTCTTCCCACCACACATGACTCTAATACAAAGGAAATGTCCTCGGGTGCTTGAGAGAAACTTCAGCGTGGGCTGTTGTCAAACACTGACACAGTCGATAAAACAATGTAACAAAATGCCTTTTCACTTCTGACACATTGTAGAGGAATGCAGTTAAGTGGATACAATATTATCACTCCAGGAAGAAAGAGGGAAAAGCTGCTGCACTCGGAAATCAGGCCCCGGCTGCGCAGCCCCGGCACCACATGGAAGTAGTTCCAGGGAGGTAAGAGCCCAGGTCCTTGCAGGAAAACTTTTAATTCAGTCGCTACTCCGGGGTTGTGCTTTTTTAAGAAGCCCTGCACCGGAGCCTCCTAATCACCGAGATTTGCTCTGCCAGCAAATGCTCGCAAGCGAGCGCAGGCGGGTGTCCCTCCCCGGGCTGCGTCCAGACCCCGAGCCGGCGACTCCCCGGCTGCGGCCCCCACTCTCCGGCCGCCCCCGGCCGCCCCCCCGCGGGGAGGAAAAGGCTCCTCGCTGCGGCCCCCGCCCCCGCCCGGAGACGGGAGTGGAGAGAGCAGGAACGCAGCCACTCTCCGTCGTGCGTGGAATAATTAAACTCTTCTCGCACCGAAAAAGTTCCCTTCCCCAGCCTTTGCCCGCGGGGCTGGGGGCGGGGAGAGGCCTGGGGCTGGAGTTCCACGGCCCGCGGCCCGGGAGAGGCGCCCGGCCAGGCTTCGCCCGCGCCCCCCGCGCGCCGGCTCGGGCTCTGCTCCTCGCGCGGACTCCGGGGAGGCGCCCGCGGCCGGCCTGCGCCGCGCTGCCCCGCTCGCCCCGCGGCGGGAGCCCCAGGGTGCGGCGGGGGGCGCTCGGTGGGGACGCGGGTCCCCGACGCGGGGTCCCGGCGCGATCGCCCCGCTGCGCCCCGCCCGGCCCGCGCGGGGCACTTTGCAGCCCGCAGCCCGGGACAGGGGACGCCCGCGAGGCCCGGCCCGGCCGCCGCACTTTCCCTTTCCCCGCCTCCCCTCCGTCTCCCTCCTCCCCTTTCCAGGAAGCGCCATATTGATCCCGGCGCCTTCCCCCTCCTCCTCCCCCTCCTCCGCCCCCGCGCCCTCCTCCCCGCAGCCCCGCGCCCCGCGCGCCCCCGGCCCCTCACCTTGGCTATGGCCTTCCGGTAGCGGGTCACCGCTTGCTGGATGAGGCTGAAAACTTTCATGTGGCCGTCTCCGCACGGCACGACCACCCGGGTCCTCCCGAAGCACACGGTCACTTTCATGCCGCCGTCGCCGCGGGCTGGCCCGCGCCCCTCGCTGACCGCGGCCGGGGCGGCCCCGGGCCGGGGCGGCTGGACACTCGGCGCGGCGGGGCC